TAAGTATTTATGTACATACATGTAAAGTCTTGTACCGTACCCATATGTAAGGTTATTGGAATATATATTCTATAGTATAAGAATAACTATCTATAGTTAGATCCATGTGGTGGATCTGCATTCTACTCCCTGTTTCTATGAATTCTGCTTATTTAAATCATACTTATTAGCAGCGGGGAGGTAGGGGGAATAGGAAGATATTTACCAAATAGCACAAAATTGCAGTTATGTAAAATGAATAAATCCTAGAGATCTAATATATATCATAGTATTTAATAATATAGTATTATATCCTGAAAATAGTTAAGAAAGATGAGAAGTTCCAACACACACACAATAACTATGTAATGCATGGATGCCATTGTTGCATGAATATAGATGGGCTATATAAATAGATGTGTTAATTAGCATGCATTTGGTAACTGTTTCCCTGGATATGTGTGTCAAAATATCATGTTATAAATAAAATATATATGTTTTTTATTTACAAAATAAAAATAAAAATGATTATTGGATTTCTTTAGTGACAAATATACTAGTTTATCCCATTTCCCTGTTTTTAAAAGTAAGAGGCACACTAGTCATTACACTCACTTAAGTTTAAAATTCCTAATACTTATAAATTATAGCCCCAGACAGAAATTATATACTTTTTCAACTAAGTATTTTATAGCATGTAATAGAGTTCTCTGTGTACAGTGAAAAAAATCATTGTAGGGTAAGTCAGCAGAAGGTTGGGAAAACTTTCCCTAATTAGTGTGTGATTTTACACAATTTACTTAAGTTTTGTGCCTCAGTTTCCCCTCAGAGGAATTTTAGAGAAGTTCACTGAATAAGAATGTGGATTGGTCTATGTCACTGGATTTTTAGGGACACTTTGATAGGACAAACAGTGCTGTCTGCTATGCAGCCTCACAGTATCTTGGGCTTACTGGCTCAGGAGTTTCCACAATAGTCTCATTGGAAAAGAGAGAAGATTTGAAATTCTTCATGAACTGAGAGGCCACGTATATAATATCCAGGAAGAATTTTGAGATTCTTGAGATTCATGTTTGCTGCAAAATCCCATGCAACCTTAGGATCTCTACTAGAAATCTTGTCAGAAATTGAGAATGGCAAATGCACTTTAGAGCAAGACCACACACCTCCCGCCACGGAGTCATCACAGTGGTTAGGAATCATGTGACACCATGATTTGTTGCCTTTGTCCTCTTTGTTGTATCTCTGCCCTGATGGCTGGTTTTGTTCCTTCTCTTGGATGAACATTCATCCAGGGAGTGAGAACACGGGCTGTCACTATTAGAGACTTCAAGACCTGGCTTGAGACCAAGTCTAAACAAAGAAGCACAAAATTGTGTTTTCCCCATATGTGTCTATTTGAAAGATATTGAGTGATTGTTCTAGAAACGGGCACAAAGAAAGTAGTGAATTATGTTAAGCAATTTGTGTCATCTCAGATTCTCATGTATTATCTATCTTTTTCTGTACCTAGTATCTTCTTGATGGCATCATAACATACTCATTCACCATAAGACCGAGAGTTTATGTATACATTGTTGATGATAATGTAAACTGCTCTGGCCATTATGGAAAGCAACCTGGGTTTATCTTTAAAACTAAAAATGAAAATACCACACAACCCAGCAATTCCACTCCTGGGCATCTATCCAAAAAGCAAAAAACAAAAAAAAACAAACAAAAAAAAACATCGGCACAAAAACTGTATTTTCTACAGTGCTCATTGTGCACTGTGTATAATAGCTAGGATAGGGCCGCAGCCTGAATGTCCATCAGTAGATTGCTACATCAAGATGTGGTATATCCACACCATTATGAAACACCACCCATGAGTAAGGAAGATGAAATGCAGCCATACACAGCAAAACAGAAGGAGTTCAAGAGAATATGTGTAATGCGGTAAGTCCGAAAGACAAGCACAAATACTAGACATTTCCATACATCGTAGACAACTGCTCAAAGTAAAACACTTATGAAAATTAGTGGGTATTAATAAACACCCCAAGGACTCTGTCCTAAAGAGAGAGAGATAGGGGAAAATGGACAAGGGAAAATAAGAGATGGTGGTGGGGAGAAAGATAAAAGGTATTATATTCACAAAGGAAAAAAACAAAGATAAGATGGGCTTTAGGGAAATAATGGGGCTGATAGTTACAATCTTGCAGGGCTGTTTTAAAAACAATGGCAATGTTAAGATAATGGATATCGTTTTCAATGCAAAGAATTTGGATGATACTGCCTAGTAGAAAGAAATCATGTGCACAGCAATTTTTAAGAACATCAAAAAAGAACAAATTATCACTGGAAAATTCCTGTGTTTGTTACTACCATACTGTTTTGATCAGCAGGAAATCAAAGAGTTGTTTTCACACAAGTTTTCTCTTTCTCTTCTTCACATGGCAAAAAATAAATGTACTATAAATGTTGTCACAAAGCTTTGCTATAGACTCAAATGACTTTTCAGGAAGGATACAGTGCCCTGAAGGGCATATTGTGAAACTGGGGTAAAGTTGAAAGGATTCAAACCAGAGGGAACTCCCTGAGGGGACACATTGAGTTAATCTGCCTATAAATTGCTGCGTGTCTCCCAGAGAAATCCTCATGCTTGTTTCACCATGTGTTGAGAGAAATGTGTCCACACAGATACCAAAGACCACTGTGAGACTTTGTGTTGTCACGAAGAATGGGCTTCCTAGATCTGTACAACGTGCCATGTTTGGGACTCAAGTTCTCCAGCCATTTGCTTTCTCCAGGATGAAAAGTCTCTGTGACAAACCAGTCCATCCAGGTTGGAAGTTTTGTGTGGTGCTGCTATTTGTTACTTTCCTTTATAGCTCAGATGAAGGGGAAAGCAATTTAATGTTCAATGACCTGCTTCCAGGATCAAAGTGGCATTCAAACTTGTCTTCAAAATAGATCTAGTATGATCTAGATCTAGAATGACCATTCTCCCTCCTACCACTGCTCCGACCTGAGCCACTGACTGCCTCAAGTGCCATATGGCAGTGGGCTCCCTCAGTTTGAAGTAGACCACACCCTAGCTTAGAATCCTCCAGTGGCTCACAAGACAATGCTTTATTTTGGGAACCAGATTTATTGAGTTCCTGGCAGAGTCATTGCGGCTCTGCTTACAGCAGGGAGGACGAGCAGTGGCTCCCTCTGCCTCTCATGGTCCTTGACAGAGCCAGCCACCCTGGGAGTTTGCCCTTCCTCCTGGAACACTCTTGCCCATGCATCCTCCGCCTGCTCCCTTGCCTCTTGGGGTTTCTCTTCAAGCATAACTTAACACCCTGGGCTTTCCTAGATACCTAATTTAAAAGTACATCCCTCCCAACACTTCCTACCCCTCTTCTGTTTTTGCTTTTTTTTAAGTTTAACTAGCAGGCTTTATTTTTAGAGTAGTTTTAGCTTCAAAGAGTTCTTACATCACCCCTTTTCTACCACAATGTGCTCAGCCCCCCACCATCAGCATCCCCACAGGAGTGAGTGGTGCATTTGTTGTCATCTGTGAACCTATATAGCCACATCGTTGTCACCCATCTAGAGTCCACAGTTCACTGTCAGTATTGTATGTTACATGTATCTGGACAAATGTCTAGTGACAGGCATCCACCATTACAGTATCATAAAATAGTTTCACTGACCCTACAAGTCCTATGTTATACCTGTTCATCCCTTTCTCCCCACAAATTCCTGGCAACCACTAATCTTTTGACTTTCCACATTTTGCCTTTGCTATAGTGCATATAGTTGGAATCACATAGCAGGTAACCTTTTCGGATTTCTTTCACTAAGTATCATGCATTTAAAGTTTCTCCACATCTTTTCAAGACTTGGTAGTTCATTTCCTTTTAGTGCTGACTAAAATCCCATGTCTAGATGTACCACGGTATCTGCTACTTGCAGAACATCTTGGCTTCTTTCAGCCCTCTTCCCCCCACATAGTGCTTATCACTGCTATACTCTTTACTAGGCTTGTTTATGTTGTTGTCATTGCTATAACCCCCCTGACTTGAGGGGGAGGGGAAGTTCTACGTTATTCTCTGTTTTATCCTAGCACATATAACAATGTTCTTGTATAGAAGATGATGATGAAATAATGATAAAAAGCTATCTTCTAAAGGTACCAATGTTACTAAAGTTATCTCTACTCACACAAGATATAACATACACTTCAAATGATACTGCCAGTGCTGATAGTATTTTCTTTCTTTAAAAACATGAGCTCTGTAGAGCAGAACACTATTCCGCCTCATTCTCTGCTATATTCTGGACACTGAGACAACTCCTGGCACATAGTGAAGGTGTTCTAAGAATATTAGTTCAATGGATAATCAGTACATCTAGTTTACTGGCTGCCTTACTTTATCACTTATCTGTTGACAAGATATTTTTAGTGAATCAATGAGATGTTTAAAACCAATTCATTTTTGAAATAAATAGTACAACCATAATTTATCACACTGTTTGGTCAAATCTCACTTGTAATTTACTGCTGTAATCTGAAAAAAAAAATACATTATTATTTCAAGTTCTCTTGGTGTTACAAGAATGATGTTTAAAGCTATGTCAGGGAGCAGAATCTATTTATGTGTAAATGTTTTATGAATGTACCATGTGCTAATGGCTGAAGGGCAGTGAGGAGAAACAGATGAACTGATTTTCAAAAACTGGATTTTGAATGGCCAATGGCTATTCAATTATTAAAATTAAAGATAAGACTCAGTAAAGCAGTGCTTTTCTAGAAGTGGCAAATGTGGAAAATCTCAATAAAGTCATAAAATAGCATGACAGAGAATTCTTTAGTAGATGATTTCTCTTGCCCTGAACCACCCTCCTGCCCCCCACCACTATGTTCAAACAAGAGAGCCTTTATTTTGTTGAGGAAGTTTAGAAGGATGTATTTCATGAAGGAAAAAAATATAACATCTTTATGGATGAGTATAATATATGGCGAGTGAAGAAGTTCTTAGAAAACTTACCCATCATTGTTAACATCTGATACTGCAACTGTATATCCAAAATAAGATGCCATCTGCAAAGTAAAACCATAAAATATTTCATGTTAAAAATAATTTTTATAGCCATCTCTCCATTATCCCTGAAAGATTAATCTCATTGCAGTAGAAATTTGCATTTAAAACCATAGACTCTTAGACATGGACAGAGTCTTCAAGCTTTTTAGTCTAACCCCTGACCCAATGCAAAATTCACCCTATAATACCCCGACATCTGCTGGAACATCCTTTGGAGATGCTCAACAATAAGCCCATTCAGTTTGTAAGCACAATTATTAGAATATCCCATGTAACACTGGCTGACTATAACTTCTTATCCTTAATCCTACCTAGTTCAACATCTTGAGCCTCCCAGAATAAATCTAATTTCACTTCTATGGGAAATATCATTCAAAAATAGTTCCAGCTGGTTCACTATCTTGGCTCTTCTGTCTTGGAGATACCATATTTGATAATAAAGAGAAGATGATACCCCATGAGCACACTAACAGAAGAGTTAGGAGGTAAGAGTTACACTCTGTACTTTGGACTTTTTATTATTGAAGCCTAGAAAGGGTTGTAATTTTGGGAGAAAACATATCTCAGTATTAATTCACATTGGGCTTATTGTCAAAATTCCTATATCTTTCTTAAGTGTAGTTAGTACTATAGTTTCTTCACACACTATTTTTTAAGTTTTTTAAATTATCTTCAAGAAGTATAAGCTTAATTTGACCCAGTTTTGCCCATTCTATATGCCAAGATTTTTGTTTTTATGTGCTGTTTCTCAGTGTTTTAATTGTCTTAGACTCCAGTCACTTGCTAATTTAATAATAATTATATCATCCACTAGAAAGTATGCTGCTCCACAGAAGGTACAAAGACTAGCCTGTTTTGTCTACTTTTCTATCTGCACTGACTGGGTCATGTGTAGCTCAAAGTAGGTGCTGGGTTCCTGTTACCCTTTGCAGAGGGAATGAGCACATAAATGAACAGAGTAGATCCATTATTCAGTAATCCCATTTATTTTTTTCTTCCAAACACACACAGTAGCTATAGATTTAATGTTTGCATCCCCCTGAAATTCTTATGTTGAAACCTAGTCCTCAGTATGATAGCATTAGGAGGTAAGGTGTTGGGGATTAGGTTGATTAATTAGAAGATGAGTCCAAGAAGGTAGAACCTTGTGAATGGGGATGGTACCCTTGTAAAAGAGACTGCAGGGAGTTCTCTAGCTCACCATGTACCATGTAAGGACACAGGAAAAAGACAGCCTTCGTGAACCAGGCCTCTGGAGATACTTAATCTGCCTACCCCTTGGCTTTGGACTTTCAGCCTCCAGAACTGTGAGAATTCAATATTTGCAGTTTTAGCCAGTCAGTTTACAGTATTTTTATTATGGTAACCTGGATGGGCCAACCTGGGTTGATGGTTAGTAAAAAAAATTGGTTAAGTAGAGAAGCAAATCCAGCTCATGACTGAGTCCCTTATATGACAATACCATAATCATCACTTAGCGTGATGAGGCAAATTTCCACAAGTCATGAAAGGCAGACGAAATGTAGCCAGGCCATGTTAAGTCTGGAGGATGACCAGTGCATCCTGTTTTCGGGAAACTGGGCCATTCATAATTTCATAAGGTCACAAGACCCCAGCAAGTGGCAATAAGTAAGGAGCAGGCATAAGCTATAGCTACTAGGAGAAGAGACTAGAACAGAACGGACAGCTAGTCAACTTTCAGATAATGCTGGAGTCAGGGAAGGACTCTAGTCAAGCGAGGAAGGGCAGCCTGTTGTCTCTGACCATTACAAGAGGGTCTACTAGTGGCTCAGATCATCTGCGAGGGAGAGAGCAGGCATCCAGGCTCACCTCCTGGCATGCTACCCATAGGGCTGTCTGTCCCACCCCAAAGGTTAGTGGCATTTTGTCTTCCAAGGAACATATTCTAATTATTGGTGAGCACAAACTCAGTGGGTCACAGGCATCCTGTACGTCCAGACAGGCTGGAGTCCTTAGTATGTGCTTGGAGTAAACCCTGCCTGCATTTCTCTAATTTTTGTTTCATGCTCTTGATTTCATTGCTCTTGAAGAGGTGTTTTAGTTGCTTCTCTCTCCCTTTCTCTTCCTATCACATGCGCATTCTCTCTTTCTCTCTTTCTCTCTCACAAAGGGTTCATCATTCTCAGCGTCTTTCATCACAGCTTGCTGTGTCAGTTGCACCAGGGTTACTACTTGTCACTAATTACTTAGCCACTTCATAAAAACCTACCCCACATTACTCATGACTCCTGTTCATTAATTTTTTAATAGCATAGAGTGGCCAAGAGCATCTTCTAACTAGGACTCAGAATCCCCTACCATCTCAAGGAAGATTTATGATAAAGAGGGAGCAAACAGTGTGCTTTGATAGGCAGGAGTTCAGTATTGGCTACTATGTTAGGTTTGAACATGTCCTTAATTTTGAATGGATAATTATTAAAAATAACTTGAAAGCAGGGCATAACTAAGAAAAAAATCAGATACAACCACTATTGAATGCAAATAAAATAAACATTCCGCATCTTTTAAAAAGCATTTGTGTTACTGTTCCCTTTCACTTGAATAAGTCGGTGACTCTCAAACTTGAGCCTCTAGACTCCCAGGATTCTAGGAAATAAATATTCTCCCAGGACAGTCTGTTCCCTACAAGGATTGACTTCTTATGGCTGACTTAGTGTTTCCATTTTGATGGTGACCTTGAAGTGTGATACACGTGTTCTGAAGCATGTGGGTACCATCTCATACCCGATGACATCAGGGCTGCTTTGTGTTTCACCATCTGATTGGCATCCATATGACTTTTTCTTGGACTTGGCCAAAAGAACAGAGGCATGATGTATTTCCTCTTAGTCAAGGCCACACTCTACACACCAGAAATAGGAATGTAACTGTATATGTGTGAATTTGAAATAGGAATGTAACTATATGTGTGAGTTGGGAGAAGTGAGTTATTCCCTCAGCAGAGACTATCTGGCACCTTTCACCGACTTTATGGTGTGATTCAGGCACTGCAGGTAGAAGAGGAAACAAAGTCCACATCTTCTGCGAGGCACTCTTTGTAGGGGCAACATTCGACTGACAGTCCACGGCAGCCTGTACCCTAATCTCACTGTGGGTAGCCTGTTTTGCCACAGAGCAACATCATCTGTTCAAATTCAATGAACAGGACTAATTTTAGATTTATTGTTTCCCCAGTTTTGTTTGTATATCATTTTTAATTAAATTTGTCATTTTGTTTCTGCATTAAGTTTCAAAGTCTTATGAAACACAAACACAAGTTACAAATATAAGTTGTTCATTAAATTTAGATTTCTTTGTACAGTTAAGCTAGGAAACCAGGGGTCTGTATATTATTAACATAAATAAGCAATAGTTTATGATCATTGAAAATTCATAAATTTACATCCGTTGGATTACAGAAGACTTAAAGAATTAAGGTCTGTTTAATCAAAAAGAGAGGGAAAGAAAGAGGGAAGGAAGGGGATGTTCTTTTCTTGGGCAGTAGTAAGAACATATAATCTAAAATCCGTGATACATTTCATTCTCAAAGGGAATTTTGAAGGTAAAAGTTTCATCCTTGTTTGTGCCAATAGGACTCAGAGAAGGCAGGTGATAGTTGTGTTCTCTGACAATTCACAGCTGGCACTGTGGGAACTGGGCCCTCGCATGTCCACTTTTGAAGTTCAGGCCCGTTCTCAGTGGCCCCTCCTCACATCTTACATGAGACACTTCATGCATTTCTAGACTACTGCAAGTTCATAACAATAAAAAATGGCTTCTTACCCCTGTACTTCCAGCCAGTTCCCTACTCCTAAACATGGCTCCCATGTGCAGCCCCAAAGGCCTACGTGAACAGCCCCTGACTCCTTGGTACCCAGAGCCTACTTCTCTCTCAATTTGTTCATGGTCCCTGTGACTTTCCTTCTGTTCCTTTACATTCAGCTAGTTCTTGACCATGGCCTTGAGCTTAGCTGTCTCCCTTACCTGGAACAGTCTAGATAAATAAGATGACATAGCTGGCTCTGTCTATCATTCACACATCAACTCAGCTCAGATGCTTCCTGAGAGGCATCTTTTGGACAACCCTATCTAAGAGCTCCCTTGCCAACCACTTTCCCAATATGTAGCCACTATATAACTATCACATCACTATGTGAAATTATGAGCATTTACTTTTTGTTAATTAATCCTTTCCCCTCTTCACCCTACTGCAGAAAGGGTGAGATCTTGTCTATCTGATGAGCACTGTATTCTCAATGCCTAAAACAGCTTCCCGTACCTAGTAGGGCTCAGTCAATATTTTTTTTATCAATGAATAGATTATGCGATGATCATAGTATACTATATACATAATGACTTTAACTATATAATTTTAAAATATCTTTACCTGTTCACCAGTGAAATTCTGAATAAAGGTCATATCTGTAGAGTTCATAATTGAAACCTAAAATCATAGAAATTAGATTATATCATTTGACATAGAATTAGAAAATAAAATTGCAAAATAAATCCTTTTGAAATTGTGACGAGTGATACAAGGTTAAGTACATATCAAACAAAAAAACCCATATCATTTTTTTAATCCCATGAGACTTTTTGTTTGTGGTTAAGTCTGGGATCCTTTCAGACAAAATGCATGCTTATTTATCTGAAGAATGAAAAACATTATTTAAAATAAGTTTTTCTTTTCATAAGGTCTATACATTTTCTTTTCCTATTTTTGTGGGATCTAGTTATAGTAGGTTTGAATAACATTTCTTCCAAATTCATACAAAACTTTTGGATGTGACCTCATTTGGAAATAAGGCCTTTGGACCTGGTCTGAAATCATCCTGCATTTAGGGTGGGCCCTATACCCAGTGACTGGTGTCCTAATAGAAAAGGAGAGGACACACATACATTCAGATGGCAGGAGGCCACATGCAGATAGAGCACAGACTGAGGTTATGCCTGAACATGCCCAGGAAAGGCAGGGGTCACTGGATGCTGGAAGAGGCAAAAAGTATTGGTCCTATATGCATTGCAGGGAGCAGACCCTACTGAAGTCTTGATATCAGACCTTTGGGCTCTTGAACTACCAGAGAACAAATTTAAGTTGTTTTAAGTTACTTAGTTTGTAGTCCCAAGAAACTAATATTCTAGTGAAATAATTTCTTTATTTCCACCATATGAGACGTATTGAAATGCTGATCATATCAACATTGGTAACTCCCTTGGTTATTCCTAGATAATAGACAGGATGTGGGACTGGTTTAAGGCCCACCTACTATTGACCTGAATTTTTTAATAATTTTGAACAATTTTGAACAATAATTTAATTTAATAATTTTGAACAATAATTTAATTTTGCACTGGATCCCAAAAAATTATATAGTTGATCCTTCACATAGAATGGGAAGGGTTGGATCTAGCTTACTTTGCTTTTCTTCTTGTAAATAAGCAAACAAGCATGGATTGCTATTAAAAGGTATTTCAAAAGATTTAAAGTTGTATAGATCAACACAAGTCTTTGCATATGAAAGAAAAAGTCCTGCAATGTACTCTTAGTACGTACATATCCAAAGTTCTGTGCTCCTCTTGGGACTCCAGCGATCAATTCTAGGAATGAAAGATAGAAAATTTAGAATGAAAATTTCACCTGTACTTTAAAACTATACAGCAAATCAGTTAAAGACAGTCCTTCCAAGGTTTGAAGCCTGAGCACCTGGAAGTACAATTTTGCTGCTAAGATGGAGACAGTAGAGCAAGTCCTGGCAGGGAAGTGAAGAGTTCAGTTATAAGAACATTAAGTTTGGGACAGTTATTCAAAGAGATGTTGTGTATTGAGTAGTGTTTCTAGATAGTAGAACACATGTCCATGTATAAACTGAGAAAATAAATAAGACTGATGGAATTGCCAAGACAAAAAAAGAAGAAAGAAAATCTGTGGATTTAACTCAGGGATACTTTATTATTTTTTTTCAGGCTTGTTATTTATTTAGTTATTATTTTCTTATATATATATATATATTTAATTATGTGTATGTGTTTTACATCATTCTTAATGTTGTACTTTTTTTCATCTCAGTTGTAATCCCCGTGGGCTTCCCACACGAATTCACCCATGTGCCACCACTATAGTCCCATGTGTTCTTCCTGCCCCTAACTCTGGGATACTTTTAATGGGAAGTTAAAGGGGAAACAATAAGTGGTGGAGAAGGGGCTGCTGGTGTCTGGGAAGCCATGGAAAGAAGTAAGCAGGCAGTGATCAACTCTGTCAAATATTCCTGATAGTCAAAATGAGGTACATGGGGGCACTGAGTTGAGTGACAGGAACAACTACAGTAGAGCAGGAGTCCGAGTGAGTTTAAGGGAAGGGGTGACTGGAACTGGCAGATAGAAATGCAAATAAAGAAGTTCTTTTGAAGCAAAGCAATATAGGTGGTAGCTCAAAGGGAAGTGAAATAAGAGACATTTTTTTTTTTAAGATGGGAGAAATAACAGTATGCTAGTATGTGAGTAGAAATGATCCAGTAGCAAGAGAAATATTGATCACGATGAGTTGGAGAATCAAGAATTGCTAGAACCCCATCCCTGGGTCATGAGAGGGAATGGAATTCTGTGCAAAGGGAAGGGTTAAATTTATATGGAATTTTGGGTAGTTCAACGACAGCACTGGCAGGGAAGATGAAGCATGTGCATGAAAAATAAAAGGGATTCGGAAAATCTAAGTTGTCTGGATCCATTGCCAGGAGATGTATCAAACTGAGCACTGCTCGCTTTTCAATAATCTTTATTATTTGGTATGAATTAAATTCTCCAGGCACCTAAAAGTAAACCATAATCAGATATAATAACGTTAACTGATTTTGGGATCAAGCACACAAACCAATAAAGATTGAGGAGGAATTATAGCACTGGAGATACATGTCAATCTCTACTTACACTACACATTCAGAATTTTGTGTAAAATTAAAAAACAAAACAAAACAAAAAAACATCATACCCAGTAATTTTGTAGTCTTCAGCCTCCTATGGTCACAACACTAAGGAGTTACCAAATACAATGTTGATTAAAAATATTCAAAATAATTTTAAAACTATCAAGACAGTTAAATTGCTTGGAGTACAAGGCAAATTAATAGAAATGTCAGTTATCCACAAAAATATTCCCTTGAGAGGGAAAAAGGAGACTTTTCTTAGATCCATTCCAATAACTTTGGCAAAACTTTCCAAGGTCTCTTAATACCAACAATACACTCAGGAAAAAATTTAGATCCCTGACCTTGAAATATTTGACTCAGTCCCAGTAAGAAGAAGTGAAAAGGAGGCTAGAGCTTACTAAATATCTTCTACCCTCTGGACAATGTGCCCTGTGCTTTATGATACCTCCCTCATTTAATTTTTTTTTTAATTTGTGTATAGAAGAACTGGAGTGCAGGATAGAGGTACATGGCATGTGTGTGTGAGAGAGGACTCACCAGAGACAGAGAAGAAAGCAAAACAGGTAGACCCACCAAAACACATTACTAAGGGGGGAGCAGCAGGAGAGATAGGAGAGGTCTACAGTGCCATGTGGGTCACCTTGCTGGCCAGGATCTAACTCAAGCTGTCATGGTGATAGCACTGAGACTCAGCCACTTTGCCAGCAGGGAATCTCATAATATCTCCCTCACTTAAACTCTCAAAATTAGGCATTCATATCCCTTTTTCACTTAAGGGGAAGTTGAGGTATAGAAAGCTTGAGTCATCACACATAGTTGGTGAGTAGAGAATTCAAAAATTGATAGCAAAACCAATACTTTCATATCAAGTGACTTTCCTAGGATTGCTTAGAATCAGATCACTTCTTTGGTTCACCATATCTGATTCTACAGTGAGAATATAGGATTATATAAACTTTTTTGAGTCATTTGTTTGATTAAGTAGAAAGTGAACATGATCAGCCTTGTACTTAAACTAGTCTCATGAATAGAATGCAATGTCCTTTGATAGAGCCTTTATTGGGCACCCACAAGCACCCACAAGTCACTTAAAAGTTGAATCCATTTTCTAGATATTTCTGAGATCCAAGGAAAAGCTCTATGGTTTTCTACCACTGTTCCCTATGATACACTGTTATGAACCATCAGAACTAACTGCTTTTCCTAATGTAATACTTAAAACTTATATGGCAAAATTTAGTTTACTTTGCTAAATTGCTAAGTGAGTGATTAAAAGAGTTGACGTGTTAAGGGTACTAGTTAATTCAGTTCTATCTCTCATGGCTCTTAATTCAAGTGTTCTTTCCATTTACAACTAATATTTAAATGTATGTATTATATATGAGGCATTATACTATTTTATGAATATATAATATTGACTCATTTAAGCCTCATAAGTATCCTATAATGTAAATATTGTCATCATTATCCCTCTTTTAAAAGAAATAAAAAAATGAAAGTATGGAAGTGTTAGGCAAAACAGTTCATAGAGGGCCCTCCCTGGTGGCACAGAGGGTTAAAGCACATGAGATGATGAAAGAAAGTTGAGTAGATTTTGGAAGAGATGGCAGTCGAAATTGGCCACACACAAAATAAATAAGAACTTCTGATCACTGGCAGATGAGGGTAGACAGGGAATCAGAGGGCTGAAAACGAGAAGATAGTCAAAATAAAGTAAAAGGGAAAGTGTAAGAATAGGGTTATTTTTGTTCTGTTAGTTGAGGTTTGGGCAAGTCCCAGGGGAAAGAAGAAATGACATCGAGATGGTGGGTTGGAGTCTAGTGGGAGTTTAGTTTGGACATGTCCAATATAAGATCTCAGAGTCTGCAGTAAAGATGAGGCATTTCTCAAATTTGATCTGTCACTGGTATCATGGCATAAAGTCATCATCTGTACTCCCTTCATTCATAATGTGGGAATGCTTGACTAACTATTGTTTAACTTGACTTATAAAGACTGATATTCAGTCTTATGTAAAAGTTTTAGGGCCTAAAAAGCTGTGCCAAAGCATTTATTTTTTATCTGTTTTTCTACAAAATATTCTCATACATTCTGGGAATTCCTTTTATCTGTTTTGGTGTAGCAAAGAAAAAGAAAGTTTTAAAAGGACTTCATAGGTCTTTATCTTTTCCCTCGTTTTATAAATGACTCAGATTCAAAAATGTCTCTCACCTTGCTGAGAGTCTCCAGTAAATTCCCCAGCAGCAACTGAGTATCCTATTTTCAAGAAAAGAAAGAAGTTAATCACATCTTTGAAGGTTTTACAAATGAGCTATATCTAGAAAATAAGAATTACCATCAACCTTCTTTGTGCAGAAATTTGAATGTAAAATCTAGGGTTTTGTAGAAGGAAAAATTAATCAAACTCATATGAACATACTTATACTAAGTCCAGGAAGCTTAACAGATATGCTGCTTCTGAATATGATGACACAATCAGATTCTCAAGACACATTGAAAGGCAGGGATGTTTCATAATCCATCCTAGTAACGGTGGTTGTTGCATTTTAAGAATTGCTAATTCATTATGATCAGACAATATCTAAAAGCTATCCTTGTGCTCAGGTTTTGCTAGTGTTTATGATCAACAAGTCCTGCTTCCTAATTCCTGTCACCATGGTTTAAAGCACATTTTACTTAGCTCTATAGTGAGGTGAGGTGACAAATGACAACAATATTTTTTTTAATTATTTGATTATTCAAATAATCAAAATCCCCCACAGGATACCAAAGGTGGGAATCAATAGTGGTGAAATAGCATTCTATAAATTTGCTCATAATAAACTTTGAGAACATTCTAACAACTAATATGTCTCTCATTGTTCTAGAAAATGATGTCTCCCAACCCCCAGCACTAGGTGGTTCCTCAAATACTCAGTATCTACTATTAAAAAAGTATTTTATGTTCAAGAGACTGTTATGAAACCTAGAAAATGGCTGTTAACTCGAGTTGGTTAATATATGATACCTGAATCAAAAGATAGACAAAAATTCACTCTAGCTAAAAACTTGCATAAGATGTCAAATAATATCAGATGAGGCCAGAAATAAAATTTGCATCTACATTTAATATATTTGTTTTTTAAGAAATCATGGAGTTCAAGCAGTGCATCTCACCAAGGTAACTATCATCATAGGAAGCTGGAGCCACTTCTGTCTGTTTTTCTCGTGTCAACTTCCTTAGAATATCCTTGAATGAGTAATTTGCAATTATATCTGCAACACTGGCTGTGATCACTTGACCTGTGTTTAAACAAATGAATACATTAACTGAATGTATGCAAGAGACAGAGCCTCCCTTGGCAGACACAGACCAGCTGAACAACACACTTTCCCTTGAAAATGACTGTGGTTTTGTTTGCATTTCAAAGATGAATTCTTCTTTCCACTAGAACTGCTGGTAGATGAGCTACATACTTTTATCTGTCTTCCTGCTGCCTATACCATATGGACTTCTTCCATCTAAAAGTGATAGCAATAGCTTAGTCAGAAGACACATGTAGGCAACATTTCTGTGATTGAACTTTTATTCTAGAATGTTCTACATAAAAGGCAACTTTGAGATTATCTAGCCAAAATATAGCTTCTTACCAGTCCTTAGATAATGAGTACACTATCAGGTAATTTGGTTTTGCTAGTAAGCTATTTGGTGTTATAATGAAGGTCTGTTTTGGCATTCCAAAGCTTTTTGTATTCTTCCAAAGTACAGATGTATTATATCTAAATCACTGACTCAGTGAATTGTGAAACACACTAGCTAAGTTAAAGGAGGGACTTAAATAATCTTTGAGCCATTTACTTTTTATGCTAATGTGCATACATAGAGCATAAAATTATAACATCAAGCAGCAAGATGTAGTGAGAACAGGATTTTGGCCAAAGAAAATGAAAAATCCATAGCCACCACCATTGATATGATAAGAACTTCGACTAATCTGTGACAAAGTCACTGTCAGAAGCTTTAAAATGTGATTATATTGAGATGGACAAATATCCAAATAATGACCAGTAATTTTCTTCTATAATATCTAGACATTCCCTTATTTATTACAGACACCTAATGGAAAAATGTGATCTTATGCTCTTTGGGAGAAAACTGGAGAGGTGCTTTGAAAAGACTAACATTTAATATCAATTTTAAACCTTTTATTCCTGGGGAAGTCACAGATAATTCCATTTTTCTGTTTGAAGTTCAAAAAGAATACATTTGTCAAGTCAGGTCATAAATATTTCAAAATGACTGTTCTGATATTAAGATGGTATTTATACATCAATTTTTGAAAAACATCTACAGAATTTGCCAGTTTTCTGTAGGTTAATGCTCCTCTCTTCCCACATACATCCTTCCTTTTTTGCTGTTTCCCTTAACTACTTCTATAAACATTATAATCCTAAGCCTGAATAACATTTTATATTATCTTCATCAGAAAAATGTTTCTATATCTTTTTGACATGGTTAATTTGCAGCAAAACTTTTGTATCATAGCTTTTTCAATTTAATGAAAAGAACTCTGCGAAATAAATCCAATGAATTAGAAGTTAATCTTTTGAAACACATTTTGTTTTATATCCATCCACTGCATAAAGTATATTGTTTTTCAGCTTCCAAATAATCTTTAAAGGCTGAAATGTTAACTACTTACTGTCCATAGCTGTATCTATCATTGCATAGTTGTATATGAAATTAACAGTGATTTCATATAAAATTTTATCATAAGTCCATCTCCTGGATCTTTCCCACTGACTTTTTTTTTTTTTTTTAAAGATTTATTTATTTATTCATACAGAACTGGGGTACAGGCCAGAGGCTCAGGGGCGGTGAGAGGCTTCACCAGAGACAGAGTGGGGAGCAGAACAGGCAGATCTACGAAATACACTGCTGAGGGAAGCAGCGGGCGGGCCAGGAGAGGTCTGGCTCGCCATGTGGTCTCCTCCGGGGCAGGCGGCAGGCGGGAATCGAACTCATGCGGAAGTGGCTTCAGATTCTCAGTGCTGCGCTTTAACCCGCTGCGCCACCAGGGAGGGCCCCCACTGACTTTTAACCATAATCAGATCACTTCCATTTAGAGAATAAACTTCACTTATCTATTCTCTCTCAGGTTTTAGTCTGTTTTTATCCTAACCTTGACAACCAAAATTCAGGCATATTCTTCATAATTTCTCTTATGGCATTCCATCCACACCCAAGGCTTCATTTGTCACCAATGGTGCAAGTTTTTATTTCAGCCTAGACTAGTTTTTCTGAGCTTACACACATTCATCTGAATACGGATGCAAAAATTTTTGGAAATGTCAAACATTTTCATACTCAACATAACCTAAAGCAAATTCAAAGTCTTTCTTGTCTAGGCCAACCCAAACCTGAGTCCTTCCACTGTGCACCATCTGAGTAAGTGCAGCACACCTACAGTCACTCAGTGGCAAGAGTCAGAAATATGTCCTTGATATCCTCCCCTCCCTCACACTATATGTCCTACCCATCACTATGCTGTTGATTTTGCCTCCAAACTCTCAACTTTCTCTTCTTTTCCTTTCCAAACCATCACCCTTCTAAGAGACAACCATCTTCATCTGAATCCTGTGTCTAGTTACAGTTACTTTGTTCCATCTTCAATCTTTTTCTGTGTTGCAGCCAGAATGATCTTTCCAAAACACACATCTTATCAGAACACCCCCCACTAAGGTTCTGCAGTGTTCCCCATTATTCTCAAGATAGACAACCCATTCTCACTCTAGCCAGGTCATCCATTTAAATGACTACAGTCAACCAGGGGGCTGTCATTATTATTAGGTTAAAGACAAAACTGCTTGATGGGAAACCCAAGGGGATTGCAACTGAAATGGAAAAATGCACAAAAGTATGTAAAAATAAACTAATAATAATAATAAAAAAGACAAAGCTGCTGCTGTGACCCGCACGCCTGCAGGGTCAGTGGGACACTGTCTAGCCACCCCGCCAGGTCTGCACCCATATCACTGCACTTCTTGCACCACCATCTCCTGGTTTGTAACTGCAAAGGGCATTTATTTTGTAATAAACATACCTTGCCAATAAAAACTTCCAGGTCCTCCCACTATAAGGTCTCCATTCTACAAAACAGAAATAGCAACAACAATTGGAAAAGAAAAATAGTTTTTTTTTTAAAGGGGATAAATCATTGTTAATAAGTTTTATTCTAACAATTAGTTTAACATAAAATTAGTGGTACAGAAAAATTAAGTTTTTGAGAAAGACTTATATATGAATCACCTAGTTCTCTTTTTTCCCCCTCTTTGCTTTCAATTATTTAGTCTACTATATTGAATGATTTTTAATGTGACTTAATTAATTTTCTCCTTTGAGAACATATAAATTTAGGTTTTTGGCTCCTTGTCAGGTAAGCAAAATATCTACACAGTTGATGCTGTACAATTTAGCAGACATGGTCTTTTGAGTTTTGACAATAAAAAGAAAATTTGGTTCCTAATTTATCTCAAGGCCATAATAGTGCCTATTTTTTATATATATCTGCACATCCATCCCCTTCCCATAGAAGGAAAAACTCCAGACTAGCTATTGCAAACTTTCTCTTCTACCTAACAACCCCATTTTAACATATCCTGCATCCTTAACTACCAGTAGGAAGACAATGATTAAAGGTAAAGCTTTGGATATTGATGAAATTTCTCCATACTATTTTTAAAGCCATGGAATTTTTACTGCCTTTATGCTCACTATACATCTGTTTTTAATTTTATGAAAGGATATGTAAACATTTATTTTGTATATTAATTTTAATTAGCCAATTACCGTTAAGCAATAAAACTATAGATTCTTGTGATCTTTCATAAGTACATTTCTTTAATGTGTTTTTGAGATGTTTAAGTTAAAAATGACTATCACAAGGAGGAGAGAAGAAAGCAGATTTGATTTTCATCATATATATACATTTCTGTAGTATTTAGTGGGCTGTCATGCATTTAGAATATTAAAAATAAAGACCAAACAAACAAAATTGTGAAGTTGCCAAAACAGGTTACCTCTATACCTAGAGGTTCCTTGGTTGATGGCAGGTGGGGATGGTGGAGGTATAGAGTAGGAGAAAGTGAGATAGATAAAATAATTAGTAGCTACAAGACCAAAAGAATTCACCTTATAAAAATCCAGACTAAATCCTGCTTGGCAGTAACCCTGGCCTTCGGGATCAGCATTGCCTGGAATGATCAAAATGTATTAATGTTAAATCATTATTTCCAACCTCTCTCTCTATATATATACACATATATATATATATATATTTTTTAAAAGATTTATTTATTCATATTGAACTGGGGTACAGGCCAGAGAATGTGGAGGGTGAGACCGATTGGGGAGCAGAACAGGCAGATCAACGAGGTACACTGCTGAGGGGAGCAGCAGGCAGGCCAGAGAGGTCTGCCGCGCCATGTGGATCCTCCGGGGCAGGCGGGAATCGAACTCATGCGGAAGTGGCTTAAGCTTCTTAGTGTTGTGCTTTAATCTGCTGCGCCACCAGGGAGGGCCCTCCAACCTATATTTTTTAACCAGTTCAGAATACTGTGTTGTCTTCTCTATAGACTTCTAGATTTCTAATGATTGATGTTTTATAAGTTAAAATATTATCCTAAGTAATTTATTAAGCATCTTCCTTTCTTGTCCTATATGTCTTTGTACTAATCACAAAGTAAGACCAGAATTATGATCCTGGGCTTTACAACCCATGTTTGTATGAAAAAAATAAAATCTCCATCTGTGAACTATACTCCAGGGTCTGGTCCAGGTGTGGCAACAAGGTATTTTGTGCTGCCAGTCAGTATGATCTGAGTAGAGGCAGGTTCCTGAAGGCAGTGTCTTCAGAAAGGAGACATCCAGATCTCTTTTATGATCTCTAATAGGTAATTAGTTTTTAATTCTTCTATTACCATTAGTTGGGTAAACTTGGAAATTGCATTTGCAAGCACAATGAATCTCATAGGAACATTGCAATGCCAGTGTTCAAAAAGAGAAAATTTTGTAGTAATGCTTATTTTCTATTCCCTCAGTATAGTTTGCTCACTTAAAGTCCAACAGGACCTTTCTTACAAGCAGACACATGCATTCCCAGGACACTGTTCTATAAAGTCTTTAGGACATTAGGGTCAGGAGTTTACTGCTTGTCACTTGTACTTGAAAAGAGTTTCTACAAATTCTAAAGTGCTTAGATTCAACCCAAAATGTAGCTGAGTATGAGGAATCTCAATCATTTTATAGATAGGTGTGGACAAGCGAATCATGACTCCTTTCTTACTAAGAAAATTCCTGAATGGAAACTAAAGTGAGAGGCAGGACAGGAAATGCACATCATCACTGGAAGGATTCACAAGCAGAACATGTTCCTGTTTCCAGAAGCTCTGTGAAATAAATGAATAATAAATGCTTTTTAGCATTTCCCAGAATCTTTTGCATTTTCTTTCTTTCTTTTGGCTTGTACTTAGCTAACGTGAGTATTGCCATCATCCATTTTTCCATAAATACCCTTTAATTTTAAAAATACTAGTCTACCTCAAACACTATATTTTTCCAGGGGGTGAATATATTTAAGAAATATATTTTTTAAAAGATGCAAACCTTTAAAAAACCATCTCTGACTTTATTTTTAATATAAATTACTCAAAAAGGAAGAAACACAGCATTCTTTGAAATTATTGTATCTCAAAACAGGAAACAAATATTAAAGAAAAAAAACTTTAATAAAAGTCACTGAGAAAACAACCGACATCAAATGTTTATTTTCAACGTGATTATAGTAGAATATGAGGTTCTTTCCTTTGCAAAGTAACTATTTCTATCAGAGTTACAGTTTATGAGTGTTGAAGAAGCTGTCTTCTTAGAACTACAGAGTGTCTGTAAACTTTATAGTTATGTTCGAGAGATCTCATGAATCCAGGGAATCCTGCTGATCATCCACTCCTATTTGTTGTTTCCTAAGCATAATGGAAAGGTGTGTGTAAAGCATCCCCACAGGAATTATGAATGACTGCTGCAGCTATAGGCATGTCATTCATAGGAATGAGCAGATTAACTTCCATGTTGCTCTGAATATCAATGCTGGTTTGTGCTGTGGAAATAACATAGGAGGCTTCTTTAGATTCGCTTTTGAAAATAATATCGCTGATGTTCCTGTTCTGTGATATTGACCATATGCTCATGAACAAGCTGGCTTTGTGTTAATGAACTGTGAACTCCTTAGGGAAGGCAGGAAGTCTGCTGCTTGGATGGATTTGAGGAGGATGAAGTATTCATAGTAGGAGAGAGATCATGAGGATGTGAGACTATCAACGTGTCCTAGGGTTGAAAGAATTCTTGGCAACTTCCTTAGCTATTCTGCAACTCAAATTCCATTCTACCTTTGCTAAGCTTTTCTTTTATTTAGGAAAATAAACAGTACATAAATTGGCATTAATGTACCCCTGTAACTCAAGATGTGAGTGTGCTATAATTTGTATTTAATGATAATGTTTCAAGCTCATGCTGTGACTTTTATCCCACAAGTCCAGACCTAAGTGCTGTTTTTAAATCAGATCTCTCCCATTACCTAGGCAGTCAGGTCCAAGGGCAAACAGAAAGCACTGACAAGTTTTATAAATGATCAAACCAAATGTTAGTTGGGAGGATCTATCATCAAACCAGGCATATGAAAGATGGGCTTGTCATTTAGCAACCACTGTTTCCTGTTATGGAAAGTCTCTCCAGCGAATCATGAGAAATGTAATATAGATAGGATTGATGAAACATGCTCCTCATTCAGGCGCAGCTCTACTGCTAATTTCCCAGTGGATTTAACTTATCTTTACCTAACTTTTGTCATTAAGATATCAGACTGACCTTGCATGGAACTTCGGAAGCAACGTGATCCAAGATATGCCTCTTGTGGGCTGTTGTCCACTGCAGGGAAGCTCGGGCTCTTGCCCTACTCGGCAAGTCATTTGTTAAGAGAATCCCTTTCCAACGCTCTATCTGAAAAGCTCTTTCCCACCCAGGTCATGCCCCGTCCTTTTCTTGCCTATTGTGTTTTTCCCCATAGCACATTCACTACTACCTGCCACTAATTAGGAACTTACTTATTTAATATTTGTTGTCCATCTTCTCCACTAGAATGTAACATTTACTTTCTCTTCTTCTGTGCTTTATTCCCTAAACGTAGATTAATTAGTGCTCAATCAGTATGTATGCAACAAACACATAATTGAGTTTCATAATTTACAGGGAACCCTGTTTTAAAGGGAGTTAAAATAAAATCCTCATGTCACAGGTTATTCATTCAGTAGTCAGCATATGAGGAAATAGCTGATTTATTTCAGTATTTTTCACAGAAAGTTAGTCTTCTCCTTGCCAAAATTGTCACCTATACCCCTCAGAGTTAACTGTTCTCCCAATCCTGTAGATCTCTAAATCTCCATGGCTTCCTCGTTAACTCTCTTATTATACCTTTATTGCTTTATTTCTGATGTTTGCTCATTATTTTGTCTAAGTTGATATTATAATTTAATGATAGTCACATAAAATGAAGAAATTGTACTTCTGGCTTTGGAAATCTTGTATGGAATTGAGTAGTAAAAAGTCAGTATTATGAAACCAATCACCAGAATGACTTTTCTAATGCTACTTCTTTCCCGTATGTGGCCTTGTTAATATTCTTGTTAATATGGAAAAAATCCATTAGTTGCTTCCTGACAAATCCCAATGATGGGTGTGACATGTAGAAACCTGGAAGATTCACAAATAACTGAGTAGAATGCTCAGTCCCTCCCTGATGCCATCCGAGTCCAAGATGAAGTGATCCCATAGCAGTTCCTTAAAGACAGCATCTACAGGCTTGCTTTAAAAGGTGCCCTGCTGGACGATTCCTAGATTTTCTAGATGAGACTCGGGTCAGAGCACAGTCTTTTTGAAAGACGGGGATTGAACACCGTAGAGGAGAGAAGTATAGGCATGCTGGTTCCCAAGGACACAGCACGTAAAGGAAGCAGGCTCACAGAAACTCATGTTGAAATGTGACCCCAGATCTGAATATACTAAGACCACACCCTCTAGAAGCAGGCGAGAGGGACAGTCAGCATTCTCTAGACCACAGTGTGAATTCTGGACACCAACTAAGAGTTTAAGGCCTAGAATATGAACCCAGGCAATTCAACTGCAGCCTGTCTAGTCACAGAAATTTTCTAAAGCACAGACCTTTCCAGCAGAATGAGCTGTCTTGACCCTCATGTCACAGCAAGGCATCCTGCTGTAATTTCAACAATCTTTTCCCACTTCCTTTTCCTTAGAAGGCTATAGTTTGTCAATTTACCTGCACTGCACACTCACAAAACTCTTGAGTTAAATTTCAGTTTCAAGGAATAAAAATAACTTACTGTTCCGACAAGGAGAGTACTCCGCATAAGCACTGAAATTCTGAATTGCCACATAGCAAGTGCCAACTGGATCCTTTTCTGATGTAGACTTAAGAGTTCTCCAGTGATATAAAGGGGCACAGGCCTGTGAAACATTAAAGACAATAAATACATATTTTTGATGTAGGTTCCGCATTCTGCATTTGATTTGACTCACTAATTAATGCCCCTGTATTTGTGACAAGACTGTTCAATTATTAGTTCCATTAAGTGGCTTCTGGCATGCTAATGAGTACCTTGGTGGTCAGAGGTCATGAAACTTCCAAAGCCAATTTTTTAACTTGAGTGCACAGTAGACTTCGAATAAATTAAACATTGACAAAGAAATAATTCCCCCTCCACCCCCAGCCAGACTTTGAAAATAAAGTTGCCTGGCAAAAATAAATATTTCCTAAAAGCAAAGAATTCATATTTTCTTTCTTTTTAAACACTGGGATCTGGCTGAAAGCAAGTAATTGTTGAAGCAGGCAGTGATGCAATGTGATGTCTTAACAAAGGACTTGCTCCTGTCTTTGTTACTTAAAGGAACTACTCTCAAATTGAAGCATACAGAAAATGTGTAAGCTCTGTTCTTGTACTCGTGTTTACCCTTGACTATTTTTTTTAAAGATTTATTTATATTTGCATACAGAACTGGGGTACAGGCCAGAGATGCAGGGGCTGTGAGAGGTTTCACCAGGAACAGAGTGGGGAGCAGAGCAGGCAGATCGACGAAGTACACTGCTGAGGGGAGCAGCGGGCAGGTTAGGAGAGGTCTGCCGCGCCATGTGGGTCACCTCTGGGGCAGGCGGGGAGTGAACTCATGCGGAAGCGGCTTTAGATTCTCAGTGCTGTGCTTTAACCCACTGCGCCACCAGGGAGGGCCTACCCCTAACATTTTAAACAGCAACTCTCATGTGGCCATGCTGCCACTCACCGTGGTGTGCTTGGTCGCACTGCTTACTGTTTTATGTGGGTGGCAGAACTGAAGGTAGAAGAACATCCGATGCTTGTTTTAGTGATATTTTGTAAGAGAGGATCAGAACATCATGAAAAGGGTGCATGTGAATGGCCCACATGCATTTTCAAGGTATTAAACTCTGGTTGTCAGGTAATTCAAGACTCTTCCTAATATGGAGAAATTTACTGAAATTCCAAGGAACTCACACAAATTGTTTGAGAGAAGCGATCCTTCTCCATTTTATAAAAGGTTAGAAATACAATGTTAAGTAACATATAGAGAGGTAAGTTAAATAAAGTCGTTGATGGCCCTCCCTGGTAGCGCAGCTGGTTAAAGCACAGCACTAAGAAGCTTAAGCCACTTCTGCATGAGTTCGATCCCCGCCTGCCCTGGAGGTGACCCACATGGTGAGGCAGACCTCTCCTGACCTGCCCGTTGCTCCCCTTAGCAGTGTACTTTGTTGGTCTGCCTGTTCTGCTCCCCGCTCTGTCTCTGGTGAATCCTCTCACCCTCCGGATCTCTGACCTGTACCCCAATTCTGTATGAATAAATAAATCTTTAAAATAAAACATAAATAAAGTCGTTGCATAGTGCACAGACTCATGCCATACATTTGAGTCTCTTAAAAATGTATATCACGGGGGATATTAAACAAGGGGGTCCTCCCTGGTGGTGCAGTGGGTTAAAGCACAGCACTAAGAAGGTAAAGCCACTTCCACATGAGTTTAATTCCCACCCCGGAGGTGACCCACATGGTGCCACAGACCTCTCCTGACTTGCCTGCTGCTCCCCTCAGCCGTGTTCTTCGTTAATCTGCCTGTTCTGCTCCCCACTGTCTTTGGTGAATCCTCTCACCATCCCTGCACCTTTGACCTGTATCCCAGTTCTGTATGCATAAATAAATAAATCTTTTTTTTAAAAAATGTGTTTAACTTCCTGCAACACTTACTATAGAGTTCAATGAATGTGCACTGAATTAAATTAAATGCTTGTCTACTGTAAACATTTACATGGAACATTACTATATCAAACTATTATGAATTATTTCTGTTATGATATGCACTTTGTCAGATCAGAAATTACATGATGTCTCACCCACATCTACTTTTAGGGGTATTCCTCTGGAGAAAGTAAGACATGCTTTATGGTGCCTTCTGATATAATTTCTGGGAATGAATAATTATCAAAGGGGAGACCTGACTCTAAGTTAGTTTGCCTACTATCAGAAATTTTACCAGCAAGTATGAATTTTAGCACCAGTAAGACAAATGGGATGTGTATGTGAAATACTCTGGTTGCTTTTTCAGATGCCTAGATTCTAACAAAAGCATATCTGATATAATAGATATGAAATCCTCTTAAATAAATTAACATTAATTTTACTAGGATAGGGAGAGACAAATAAATATGTAGAAGATACTAGTAATTTAAAAATGGACTCTTTTTTATTGGTTAGAAGTGTATTTTTGTTTTAAGAAATTGGTTATTTTGATATAATTTCAGAAAAGTTATCAGAATAATATAAAAAGCTCCTGTACACTGCTCACCTGGATTCATTACTTGTTCACCATGTTCCTTTCCTCTGTGTATTTTAGACACCTGCACATGTCTTAAGAACCATCCAGGAGCGGGCTACCTACACATCCCTCAACACCTTAGAGTACACTTCAGAGAGGAAGGGATTTCATGTACACATTCACAGCACAAAGACTACCACCAGGAAACTATATTGATTCGATGTAACTTTTATCTAATCCAAGACCCTATTCAAATTTCTCTAATTGTCTCAATATTTATTTAACGGTTAAAGCACCAATTATGATCACTTACTGCATTTAGTTTCATGTATTTTTTTTTTAAGATTTATTTATTTATTCATACAGAACTGGGGTACAGGTCAGAGATGCAGAGGGTGAGAGGATTCACCAGAGACAGAGTGGGGAGCAGAACAGGCAGATCGACGAAGTACACTGCTGAGGGGAGCAGCGGGCGGGTCAGGAGAGGTCTGCCGCGCCATGTGGTCACCTCCGGGGCAGGCGGGAATCGAACTCTTGCGGAAGTGGCTTTAGCTTCTTAGTGCAGTGCTTTAACCCACTGTGCCACCAGGGAGGGTCCACATGTTTTGTTTTGTTTTGTTTTTTTTAAGATTTATTTATTTATTCATACAGAACTGGGGTACAGGTCAGAGATGCAGAGGGTGAGAGGATTCACCAGAGACAGAGTGGGGAGCAGAACAGGCAGATGGACGAAGTACACTGCTGAGGGGAGCAGCGGGCGGGTCAGGAGAGGTCTGCCGCGCCATGTGGTCACCTCCGGGGCAGGCGGGAATCGAACTCTTGCGGAAGTGGCTTTAGCTTCTTACCACCAGGGAGGGCCTCATGTTTATTTTTAACCTGGAATCCTCTTTAATGCAATCTTAGTATTTCTTTATCTTTCTTGACATTTTTAGTTTTAGGATTTTACAGTATGCCCTCCAATTTTATTTTGCTATTTCCCTTGTAATTGAACTTAGCTTGTATATTTTTGATAGGAATACCTCTTAAGCAATCCTAATCCTATTCTGTGCATTACATTAGAAGGCAAAGGTATCATTGGATTCATTACAGGTGCTACATAGGCACCTTTTAATTTCTGTTTTGATAGTTCAATCTTCTATAAGTATACTTCACCTGATTCTTCAAGCGCTCATTTCTAAGGTCACAGAAAATGGACCCACTGGTATATATATATATATATATATCTTTTTGTTTGATGACATCACACTTGAAACAATGCCACAGCAGTGAAGATGGTTCCAGAATTTAATGTCTTATCATAATTTCTGGTGTGCTTTTGGTAACACCCCCATATGCAACTACTTTCACCTTCACTTGGGCTTTGTTTTACTCTCTCTCTACTGTAAGATCTTGACTAATAACTAAACTCTGTCTAACTCACTGAAGTTTCCTTATCGTAAAGCCCACTTAGTAAAGTGACAAATTATGGAATTAATACATTCATTGTGAGATGTGAAAGTGAAAAAGTAAGAGGGGTTAGGGCAGTGAACACATTTACCTATATGGCTCAACAAGCCGACTGGCTTGACCTTCTGTCTCGCCATAGAGCATTTAAGTGCATGAAAATTCTTTCTATTGGTTACCTTCTATCAACTCTAAAAAGTTACCCTTTTAACATCTGCTAGTTTCACAAAGATGTGATTTTGGGGAACTTGGGTCCAAACTGAATATATATACACTGGATATTTAAAATGATATTTCTGTTTGCATCACTTTGCAGTTGTAAGAATTACGTCAGATAAGATGATATTTAGCTCTTCTGCTACATTTCAATGCTCAAAGAAAGTATATTTTATATTATCCTATTTCTTATCACATAACTTTGAAAATACAGGCATGTATCCAAAGTAAATATTTTTATTATAAAACTACTATATTACTTTATTTTCAATAGTTTTTTTTTTAAGATTGATTTATTTATTCATACAGAACTGGGGTACAGGCCAGAGATGCAGAGGGTGAGAGGATTCACCAGAGATACAGCGGGGAACAGAACAGGCAAATCAACGAAGTACACTGCTGAGGGGAGCAGCAGGCGGGTCAGGAGAGGTCTGCTGTGCCATGTGGATCTCCTCCGAGGCAGGTGGGGATCAAACTCATGACAAAGTGGCTTAAGCTTCTTAGTGCAGTGCTTTAACCCACTGCACCGCCAGGGAGGGCCTATTTTCAATAGTTTTAAGGCAAATATAGACTAAATGCACAATAAGATGTTATAGATAAATGATCAAGTAAAAAGTATTAATATAATACCAAAAAGATTTTTTAATCTAAGTTATTAGGTGGGATTAGTTTTTTAATAGCAGTTCACATAATTCGTACACCATTAAAAGATTAAAAAAACGTTTTAACCAATTCTGGAATGTGGAACTATATTAATGCAATATAATTCTACAGAGAGCATGTTGTATGTAGATGTTGGATTTATAACGAGAGAGGCTATCTATACTTTATAGATCACCTGTTTTATGTCAAAATCTTTTGGGGGGAGTTTGCCACAGACCAAATAAAGCAAGGTATTTCCTCTAGATACTTATTCTTATTAAATCATAATTCAAATAACTTTAAACAAATCCTAAAGACCAAAGTCATTTCTTTATTGTTGTAAGGAAATTAAAGCCAACAGTTTAAAAAATTTCCCCAACAAAATAAATCTCCAGTTGAACTTGCACAGTTATTTATTTCTTAATAACTTAGATTAACATCATTGCTCAGAGCAACAAGAGAATGACAAAGTCACAATACTTATAAAATTCTATTGATATTTGGGAGTAAGTAAGTTTTTTTCACTTTAAGAAATTTTAATGTTTTCAGAGAACCATGAAAATAATAAATATATTTTTAAAGAAAGTTTTTCCTTTAGTTTTAAAATGGATAGTTCATACCACAATGGATTTTCTTTTTAAGTTAACAGTAATAGTGCTATTTTTTCAGGTCAATTTGTAATCGGTGCTTGAAGTCAACCTTAAGGAAGAAGGTGTTTACCTACTTAAGGTGTAGATTTTATTTTCCTCTTTTCATTAGTTGTTTGAAATATTTGAAAGTAGCTAACTGATGCAGAAATAGGTCATTTCCCTATAACTTTAAACACCAAAATAGATGTTTTCATTTTATCACTGAGTTTTGTTTTTAAGATGATGTTAAGATTTTCTGTGAACATCTGACTTGTTATTTCACGAAAGATTTGTAGTAAATGTGAGATTTGAAGCACCTCAGGATTGCATTATTCCCAAGCACACAATTCCTACTCACCACGACTTTCCCTTTATGAGCTTTCACCGTTGCTCCAAACCATTGATTTGACTTAAATTCAATAGGTTCCTTGGTTCCATTAACTCTGATCTTTCGGTTGTCTGATAGGAGGAAATAAATTGTTAGTAACTTGTAAAAGGTAGTAGCCAATTAAAATATGTACTAATGAATGTGCCCATTAAAAAGACCTGAAAGCCAATTTGGACACACAGGGAGATTTTTCGTTGCTGCAGTCTAAGCTAGACTTGATAAAATGTTCTAAATTTTCATTTAGAAAAATGCCAAGTAAGTAAAAATTTGAATTTGAACACACTATTTCAAACTTAAAAAAAGCAATTTTTAAAAAAGATTTTACATTTTTACAGCTAACTATACTGTAATAATGTGAATTCTGGTCATCTCAAAACCATACTTTTGCCACTCATTTGCAGCAGGTTGAAGACCAATCATTTGCAACTGTCTAAATCTGGGTGTTTTCTAGCAGAGAAACCCAAGAAAATCTCCCTGGCTGGGGAAGAACAACTTTCTCAGCGTGGGTTACTGGAACCAGAATGAAGGACTCTGAGACCTTGGTCTTAACGGAGTGATGTGTCCATGCAGCCACAGAAAACAACGGTTTTATACACACTTTGCAGATGTCACTATGAGGGGGCCATCTGGGCTGAAACGCAACCCAATTATAGCACACTTTAGGTCTTAATAAAAAACAGATTTTTTTTTTCTTTCACTCTTGATTCCCAGTCAATGTATTTCCCATGTGGTTTGAACCACATGGCTCTAACTGGAGCTTCATCAGTCATTGTCAATGAGTTTTGAAAGACATTTGTAGTAGGGTATCTTACTTGTGTTTCCATTGACATGTATTTTATTTTTCCTCCTTTATTCTATAACAGATGCATTACAAAATGAATTTATAAATCCTATTAAGTGAGGCCAAAATATACATGTAATTAACTTTAAATTGAGTTTGCATATGATTACAGACATTTTTTTTAAAAAAAGATAAATCATGTATATTCAATCTTAACCTAAAATTTACATTTTGACATATAAATTAAAAAATCACAAGTTTCCTTTTAAAAAAGCTTATGCTTTTGCAAAATAAACCAGAAGGGAAAGACAAATGCACAGTTTCACTTCAATGTGAAAAATAGAGACTCAAAACAAATGGTCAGAAAACCAAATCAATAGCAAACCTATAAGTCTAACTGTAGTATTGAGGCTTCCAGGAAGGAAGAGAGAAGAGCAGGGTATGGAGGGGGCAAAATGGACTATGGTGGAGACTTTGGGCGCCTTGAAGGTGTGGTGTGTTGACAGTCATCTGAAGGGATGTGATCTTCTACCTCTGAAGTGTATGCAGTGTTGTAAATCAATGTTACCTCAATAATGATCATCATAATAAACACTTTTGATGTTTAGGAACTTAAAGAAAAAAAAAAACCCAAGTTCTGGAAATCCTTATCCAAAAACACAGAGCTCCCAAAGCTTAGTATTTTACCAATTACAGCATAAAACTGAAAATATAAATATTTCAGTTTGCATTTTGGAAGATCGTAGAACTTAGAGACAAAGGGTCTAATCACCATTAGTGAGTGATTTTGGGCAATTCACTTACTCTTTTGGAATTTTGATTTCTTCTGTAAAAGGAAGTTGATAACACCTTAACTCATAAAGATCATCTGAGACAAATAAATGGGGAAGTGCTTTTGAAGCTAAGTTGCATACTTTAGAAATCTCACAGCAGTTCTATTCAAGGTTTATAACTTTAAAAAATATCCCTGAATTAGAAACCTGGGAACTCAAACTAAGTCTGAGAATTGGGAAGGACCTCACAAGCACACAGGGATTACATGTTATTATTAGTGATTTGTGGCGCTCAGCAGTGAAATTAGTGACACCTCACAAGATTGTCAATGTGGCTTTAATTAAGTAAAGGGAGAAAGTACTATAGGGGCTTTGAAACATCTAAACCACTAAAGAGCCATAAAAGAAGATCAGAACCTCAGAAATTCAAATATACTTAAAGAGAGCTCAAAAGTACTTGAGAAAATCAGGCTGCCACGAGGAAGGAAATGGATTATGGGGAAAGACAGAAGCTGGTAACCAACTTGGCTTTGCTTTGCTGGGGAAAATTATGTGAGTTTACTTTTATGATTTCCAAGGCATCTTTTCTGGTATTCTAAAGTTAAGCTGTGTAATTGATTAAAAATGTAAGCTGTGGGTCATTTTCTAGTAACTTATTTCTTGAAGACCAAAAATATAAGTGAGTGAACTTCACTAAGTCCATACTTAATTCCAGTATTACAGAGAAAAATTCCACTGTTCCAAGTCTCTTTTTACTGAGTTTTGATCCAGTTGTGTCATATTTCATTGATCTTTGAGGTAGCCAAATTACCTTTTGATATTCTGCTTTATTATTTTTTATAAATTCTCTGGCTTGAAACCTAGTACTGTAATTTCATAAAATTCCAAATGAGTTATTATTATTATTTTTTGGTTGAATGGGAAAGTGACCTTTCTCAATTTTCCCCCTTCCTTTTCTCAACAAGGGTTTTTCATGCCAAGTAACCCAATACAGAACATGGTACTTTCTTCCTAAAACTTGTGCGCAATATAACTCTCATACCTAGAGAACATTTTTTATTTGATTTGATCTGATTTTTACTGTAAACAACTTTTCGGTAATATCTGTAAATGCTCAGCACAATGTCAGCTAAATTCTTCTAAATTCTCCTTTGTACGGCAACTATCTGGAAATCTGACTATTCATTTCCCAAGTCCTCTTCCAGGTAGGATTTTGGCTAAATGAAAGGTTCTTGAGAGATTTGGGAAAAGGAAAAGATGGTGAGGATATGTTTTTTGTGGCAGCTACTGGCATGCTTGTAGGCACCGGTGGTGACAGATGTGATGTCCTTCCTGTACCTCCCTCATATCAACTGACCATCACCCCTTTGGTGCTTTGGGAAGCTGAGATCGAATTTTGAAATTCCAGATTTCTTGATCTGCAGGCAGAAGCTTTCCTGACCTTCCCACCCCTACAGTTTCCAATTGAAAGACTTTCTTCACTGGCCACATGACTACTTTTTCCTAGCACTCCTTCTTAGTGTTATTATGCCTTCTTTTATTTTCCAATATTTCCCTAAATGTTAGTAGTTCCAGGACTTAATCTCAATCTTGATCTCTTCCCATCCCTACACAGCCTCCCATCTCCTTCTCTTTTCTCTTTGTTTCATTTCTCTTTATTTATACTCATTCCCTAATCCATGGTCTTAAATATGTGCTATCTGCTACATACTTATAACTTCCAAAGTTATATCTACAAACCATTTGCCTGAGCTCTGAGTTTATTTATCCATCTGCCCAATTGACATCACTTGAGTGTCTAATAAGCATCTCAAATTTCACATATCTTGATTCAACTCTTGATATTTTTTCCAACAGCTAGATATTTGCTCCCTTCCCACTGCTCCCTGCCACAGTCCCATTCCTCCAGTGCCTCAGGTCAAAATATTTCTTTTCTTGCAAATTTTTCATTGGAGTCAAATGAAATCCAACCGCACTTTCAAATAAACCCAAATCCGACCATTTCTCAACCCTAACTGCTATCATCCAACCCAAAACATACTTCTCTTTCACTGGAAAATGGAAGTAGTCCCCTTGATTCTTCTTTTTCTTGCATACAGTTGAATTAACTACCTTCCTAAAAGTATAATTGAAATTTTATCCCTTGTCCACTTGTAATACTATTGGCTCCCCATCATTCTAGAATAAAACCCAAAGCCCTAGTTGGACCTTTAAGGCATTATATATACCTGACCCTTTGGCCTCATTTAAATCACTCTTTCTACTGGGTCCTATACCCAGTGGTCTTTTCCATTCTTCAAGCACATGGTCATCTCCAGATTTCAACAGTGATTTTCCCTTGGACATCCATTCCCCCATCTTGCATGGTTCTTTCCCTCAATTTAGGTCTTGCTCTGATATCACCTCCTTGATAAAAGCTTCTTTGATCACCTGTGTTAAACACATTAATATTGTCTAAGATGTTTACATCTTGTAAGATTCTCAAAATTTATGAACATGCTAGGTTACATAGCAAGGGAGGGCTAAGGTTGCAAATTAAGTTAAAGTTAATAATCAGTTGCTCTTAAATTAGAGCTATTATCCTGGATGATCCAGGTGGGCCCAATGTTATAACAATGATACTTTAAAGTGGAAGCTGGAGGCAGAACAGGAGAACCAGAGACATGGAGTATGAGGATTCATTCTGACATGCAAGCAGGCAATGAATCAAGGAACGTGGGCAGCCTCTACAAGCTGGAAAAGGCAAGGGAATAAATTCTCTCCTCAATTGGCTCCAAAAGAACACAGACCTGCCAACACCTTGATTTTAGCCAGAAAGACCTATTTTTGATGTTGGCTTCCAGAACTGTAAGATGACCAATTTGTGTTATTTAAAATCATTGTATGTGTTATAACTTGTTACAACAGCAACAGGAAACTAAGTACCCCACCCAGTCCAAAAAAAATCCTTGTGTGTACTGCCCTGTCTCCTTGACATTGCCTATTCTTCTTCAACATATCACTGGTTATTCACTGTAAACCCCAAAAGGGTAAGTCCTTGGGCTTTGTTCTTGCCATTTTTCTAGTGTCTTGAACAAGTGTATCTCTGTAGAAAGTCACTATTACTCATCTAGTCACAGAAATTTAATTTCTAAGCTTTATTTTTAGCTCCATTATTCTCTCTGGATAACATAGTTTTAAAAATGGGTTAAAATTAACCAGTTCATGTTTTGAGGGTGAAAAGATGATTTAAACACATGTTGCCAGCAGTCTGACCGCCAAGACTGAAGGACTGAAAGGCATTCAGGCTTCCCAGAGAACACTGGTGGTGGACAAGTGAAACTAGTGGTGGAGGCTGAGGACGATTGTTGGCATAACAGTCTCACTCATCTTCACAACTGTTGATAGAAACCATTCAATTTTTTGCCCCTTGTCTGCTCCCTACTATAGTGTGAGTAGTGGGCCTGTAGCCCCCAAATATCTCTGCTATTCCAGGTTTCCTAAAGTTACTAGTCTGGGCCCTTGGGAAATTTGAATT